AAACATAAAAAATCACATTTTGAATGAATCCACCATTAGATAGATAGTAATCATTTAATAACTAGTTTTCAGCTTCGACTTTATTTGGATATTTTTATATATTCAAATTTTTAGTTAGCACGCGGAATTAGAAAACCCAATAATAACGACGTATATTTTAATGTAAATTTCGAAATCTTGAGTAGACACATAATTTTGCGGATTTGACAGAACACCGGTTGGATAGCATCTACGAAGAGCGTTCAATAAAAACTAAAAAGTGAGTATTTTGCCGGTAACTTTTATATAGCCTGATCCCCATCGTAATTTGTCATCCATGATCGTAATGAAGGGATGAATGGGCATTCGTATATTAGTATTTTTCGAAATTAATCCCATAAGGGGGTAAATTAGGGGATGGAAGTTTGTATGGAACTTTAATTTGTTTATTTGAAATGGACGGAAAGTGGTATTTATCTTCAAAATAAAAATAAAACAATACATGCATCCAATTTTTTCGAAATTCATCCCTTAATAGGGTAAAAAGGGGCTATAATTTTTATACAAGAGAACTTTTTTTATGATCAGAATTACTTCAAATTTCATATTAATGATCTTCAATTCAGTTAAATAGTCACATGTTTTGGCATTATTTGTAATTTATTCCGCACGGTGGCGAAATGAGGGATGAAAATTTGTAAATTATTTGTATGAAACTCTGTAATTTTTAATGTGAAATGACAGAAAGTGGTATTTAGCTTAAATATAATAAATTAAACTTATGTAGGTATGTACTATATTAGATTTTTTTGAAATTCACCTCTTAAAGGGCCAAAAATTGGTGGTAATGTTTATATGGGGAAAAAATTGTGTATGATCACAATTACTTAAAACTTGGTATAAATACACACTAAGGGGGGTTTATTTATATCCATACTTAATATTATAAATGTGAAAAGGCGTTTGTTTGTTTTTGTCTGTGCTTCTTTCACGTCAAAATGGATCGACGGATGGGCGTGATTTTTTTGTGTGGAGATAGTTAGAGGGCTGGAGAGTGACATAGGCTACTTTTTACCGCCAGAGATTACCTAATTCCTACGGGAAAACACGTTATAATACAAGCCAAAAAAATATTTATGATCAGAATTACTTGAAACTAGATATTAAATGTTCTTCAATAAAATTAAATAAATACGTATTGTAGAATTTTTCGAAATTCATCCTAATGAAATAAATGTGTAAAATAGGCGATGGAAGTTTGTATGGAAAAACCTTATCTTACATATTTTTGCCATAGAAAAGTTTCGGTCTTTATTTTTATTATGGACAGTATTGCAGTGGGTATGGTATGTAATTAGTATATGGGTAAAATCCTATATTTTAAAAGAATAGGTTAATTTATTTTTGCATAAGTTTGTTGGTTTTTTTATGTACAAATGTCTTAAAAGATAAATTTGTGTAAAATATATAACTACATATTATAATGTAACTAGCGACTCACTCTCGCTTCGCTCGAGTTCGTCCTTAGGTACATTTTAACGGTTAGTATGAATTACAAATCTTTGAATTTCTCGACTTTTCTGTACTATAATATGCATAAGGTTTATATGTGTTATACTTACATATAAACCTTTCTCTTGAATCACTCTATCTATTGCTGAAAACTGTATTAAAATCCGATGAGTAGTTAAAAAGATCTAAGCGAACAGACAGCGGAAGCAACTTCATTTTAGACTTATGTAAACACGAGATCAAAGTAGAACATTGATTATTTTATTTTGAATAAAATCAAAAATCAAAATCTTTCGAGTGGCGTAAACCGTGCCAGACTTTTAGCGTCATCTGCCAAAGAATCGGGGCACTGGTTGCACGTCCTCCCTTCAACTAATCTCGGTACACTTTTGGATAATGACAGTTTTCGTATCGCTTTAGGTTTCCGGCTGGGTACTCCGTTGTGCACTGAGTACAGATGCCTGTGTGCAAAAAAGGTTGACAGTTATAGACTCCATGGACTCTCTTGCAGAAGAAGTACACGTAGACTTTTCCGTCATGGTTCCCTAAACGATACCATCAAAAGGGCTCTTGCCACCATTGACATTCCTGCTCTTATTGAGATTAACAGTAAGCCGGAAATTAAAAAAATCATCCTCCCATTTCTCGAGGGTAGCTTGATATAGGGGGTATTTGTTCCTTATATACCTGCTAACATTTTAAAGATATACAACTTCAGGTCTCAATTTTTAACTTTTGGTTTTTTTCTTCCCATACCGGATTCTGATCGGACTAATGAGTATTTAAAAGACTTAATTTTATTTTATTGTTATGACAGGCATGCTTTCTATTTATTTCAGTCAAAATAGTAGTACAAGTAGGTATTTTTTTCTATTGCCGAATGTTCGGCATTCAAACGGAATTTCGGCGGAATGGCGAAGTTTGGCTCAAGCTGCCGAAATTCGGTTAAACCGATTGTAAAACGAATTTCGACCCATCCCTAGTTTTAACCATTCGCTTTTGCAAGTCCATGGACAAACTCATAATCGGAAATATATCTGTAAATAAAATATACGATGGATATTGTAACTCACATTACAAATTAATAAATTGTCGTTATGATAAGTATAAATAAAGCGGTACTTTAGAGTATCGCTTAAGTAATCATGATTAAAATAAAAATAACTCCTAAGAGCCTCCTAACCCTTTTCCCTTGATACGCAAAATACGTACCTATGCTTTTTAACTATTTTTGTTAAGTAAATTTTTAAGCAAAGTAAATTTCATAATTTGATAGCACTAAAATTTATAATTTAAAACAATTATCATTAAGGTAGAAAAAATTGAGTTATCATATGTAGTGTACCTTTTGAGGCTAAGCTTTACACAATTTTTATTATACACCCTTGTTATTTAATTAGCTTCGTTTTTGAAATTGTGCATTCAAATTTTTTGAAACTAAAAGTCAAAATGAATAAGAAACAAATAAATTTTTTTAAACAAACTCACTGTTACTAGAATGTAACTATAAATTGCGTAATAATATGACACAGTAGCTTTATATCCGTCTCGAAGTTTCTCGAAGCGAAGCGCCATTGCAAAAATTCGACAAATTTTTAACACCAATGCCAGGGTACCCCGTACAAGTTACAACACATCCTTCACTGTTAATTTTTCTTCAGACTTCAGCTGTCCTATTGTCCGCGTAGATTTTAATTAATTTTATACTAGCGACTCACCCTCGCTTCGCTCGAGTTCGTCCCTAGGTTGTTTCCCCATGCAAACTTTCATCCCCATTTCACCGCCTTAATTTTTGCAGCTGTTTTGATTTCCGGGATAAAAAGTATTCTTTGTCCTTCCCAGGGTTTCAAACTATCTTCTTACCAAATTTCATCTAAATAGGTTCAGTAGATCCAGAGATTACCCCCTACAACGTCACAAACTCACAATTCACAAACTTTACCTCTTTATAATATTAGTATAGATTATTTTAAGTTATAATGTTTGTATACTTTAAAAGCATTTAGAACTAACCATCACTGAATAGATAGAGTGTCAGATTATATTGATGATTATGCTTTGGTGGTGACTAATCACCCTTTTTATTATTTTAGGTAGGTAAGTAAATAATTGGTCAAATCATGAAAAAGGAATGGAGATATTAATCTTTTAATAATTACTTATAACCTTCGATTTTACTTTAATATTTTTATATATTCCTATTTTTGATTTGCTTGCTTTGACATGTAATTCGCCATTTTGTGGTGGCGGCCATCTTGGATTTAAAATTTATCAACGTTTATAGTATTCTAATACAGTTTGTCCATTTTATTAATAGTTTTTGATAGCTCACGCCCATGAAATTTCGTATTAAGTTAAAACTTCATATAAATAATATTGTACTTTATGGATGGGTACCACCCCTTTATTGATGTGCCACACATAACGATACGATTGTGTCACAAATTATAAATAATCGATAGAAATAAATTTAATATGTTATTTAATCAGGAAGACAACAAAATTTAAGATTGAAAATGAGAAGAAAAAAAGACAAACGAGTGACAGACAACGTCAAAATGACGGCCGGACGGACGATCGGTTGATGTTGCCAGTTGACGTATATATAATTTTTACTATTATTTATTAATATGAAAATAAATATTCTATTATATTTTTTATAATAAAAAACTTAAGTGATAACGATTATTACGTCATTTAGGACATCACTATAACTTGTCAGACGTCGAGCTGTCCAAAAACTATTAATAAAATGGACAAACTATAGTAAAGCTCTTTCATTACATACCCATATTGAGGGAGTTGTGAAAAAATATGTAACTCGCCATTTTGTGGCAGGGGCCAGCTTGGACAGATTTTCATCACACATAGCTAATAGCACTCCCGACAATTTCACCTTTCAAATAAAAAAAATAAAATCAAAATCGGTTCATCCGTTCGAGACCTACGATGTCACACAGATACGTGAAACTTATAGCACCTCGTCTTTTTTGCATCGACGGTTAAAAATGCCAACAATTTCTATCTTATATCAAAATGTATATGTCCCTAATAGCTGAAATTTTTATCTTATATGTAAAATATGAAAAATAGCTTATATTATAGTAGTTGGTTTAAATTGAATCTGTATTTTTTCTTTCATAAATTTTGCGCCAATTTTCTTTCCCTGGAATAGCCTGTATCTTTCTCTTTTAAGTAAATAAGATATCTCAATTCCCAGTAGGTTTAGCTCGGGTAAAATAAAAAAGGTGTTTCGAATACTTCCAGATATAATATAATTATGGTTATTTAAACTTGGTATAGACAATGGTGTACATTTTTTATACCCTTCAATTAATAGGGTTTTAATTAAGAGTTAGACTCTGTCCTCTTTAGTACAGCTAGTTTAAAAAAAAAGTGAATATAAACGAATCAAATGATTTAAAATTTTAAAATTAAAAAATGTTTATTTTATTTATGTAATTCTTCTATTTTCGATAGGAAAGACGAAAATTGATTCTACGTATTCACTGTTTCAGTTGCAACATGAATAGTACATATGTAAGGATTGCACTGCTTATCTGCAACAAATAAATAGTCTACAGTCCCCAACGGGTTTTTTTAATGATTAATAACAAGCTAAAATTTCACGAGTAGCTGGGTTTTGACGAGACGCCTAACTTTTATTTCTACGAAAGTTTGATACTGATAGATACAATTGTGGATTGATACGGAACATGTCAAATGGTGATTGTCTAAAATTTATTACATACTTTAATTTTGTAGGACGATTGTAATATCGTGTTTCTCGTTTTATTTCTTAACGATAAAAACAAAAATTAGCTTACCATATAGTATCACCGTAGGGCGACAATGTCCGAACGTAGGACTGAGAAAGCCTACCATTCCATTTGTAGAACGATTTGATCATTCAATATATACATGCAATAAAATTCTGAGTCGAATTTGTATATTAATTTTTTTTTTATCGATGGAGTAATTATTATCGCTGTAGAAGCCGAACATATAGTTTTTGATTTTATGTCTGTCTGGGAACGCATCGTGAGAAAACCACTGGACAGATTTTGATGAAATTTAATATGATGATAGCTGGTTGGTTATCCGGGTCAACATATAGGATTCCTTTTTTCTGCGGAGAAATATCTCATCTCTGAGAAATCTATACTAACCGTTAAAACGTACATTAGAGACGAAACCGAGCGGAGCGAGGGTGAGTCGCTAGTTATGCATATTTTTAATAACTAGAGTTAGCCGAGTGGTCGAACTTCGACCATGATTATTATTGATTTTTCTTAAAAAGGGATACAAAGTTTTTGCTTCACGTATTAATACATAATTCTCAATTTGACCACAGACATTAACAATAAACAAAAGAGTATTATATATGCGTGCGTGTGCGTGTCAAATACATGGTAGTGTGTGTAATGTTTTTTTTATTGATTTAATATATGTTTTATGTATAATTTAACAAAAATATTAGCATTCTGCACTCCTCTATAAATGTGGGAAATTTCATACTCCCCCGTCCGCGCATTTTTTGTAAAAAGGGGTACAAAGTTTTTGCTTGTATAGATAAATGCTATGAAAATCAGCTAGTTATTAATAAATTATTTGATGTTGTTATTTTAACAAGTTTAGAGAGGGGGACGATTTGCTACAAACCATCTGTATTGTAGGACAACATTTTTTTTCTTGTTTTATATTGTATTATCTCAAGATTAAATCGTAAAATATATTTTTTTTAATTTTTATTAACAGACTTTTATTCTATAATTAATCTTAATAGAGCATCACCCTCAGTGTAATTTTGTATATATTAAAAACTTTCATGCAAAATTTCATGCTTTTAGACGTTTATTGCGCGTTGTTTTTCAGTCAAAAATTAGAGATTTTTTGAGTAGATGGTAGGTATGTATTACTGTCAAAATGGTAGATCGTTCTGGTGTGAACACTTCCATCGGCGAGTAATTTGGTTTATTAAGCATAAGTTGATTAGACATCAGCTCCAGTTCACACGGTATTCGCTTCCCAATATTCGTCACTTTTTGTATCAGCGTATCCACATTCACGTTTATTTTTGTTACCTTTGAAAAAAATATAATAAGTAAAATTATTTCTATTGTAACTGTGCTATTATATATAAAACTCAAATATATATTGAAATATAGTAAAAATGTAATAAAAAATAGATATTCTATGGTCACTATAAATTGCACTAGCAACTAAGTGACTACACGTGAACGAACAACATTAAGCTATTATTAATATATTAGTTATGAGAAAAAAAAACTGATTTTACTTGAGAAAGTAAAGTGGTATAGTGTTATATAATACTCAGGATTATTTATATTTTATTATTTAGGTCATAGTAGGAGGAACACTCACGTCAGAGCTCGTAGTGGCCACAGGGCTAAAACAAAGAGATGCACTATCACCAATGTTGTTTAACTTAACACACGAACATGTCATCCGAAAAGTATAATTGCATGATGGCGGGGCAGAGTTAAATGGCCGACACAAAATCGTAGATGAAGCCGATGATCTGGCGTTACTGGGACAGGGTGAGGACGATGTTCGAACTTTGGTGAAAACTATCGAGGAAGAAGGAAATAAAGTTGATCTTAAAATTAGCCGTGACAAGATGGAGTATTTCTATATGTGAAGATGGAAGAACTCTCAACAAAGATTTAAAAGTAGAAGGAACCACATATAATGGGTTATCAAAATTTAAATTTCTAGGATGCACAGCGACGACACGGACTGACCTAAGATGCGCAATGCGCATAACAAAGATCAGAGTCTATAAAATTATATGATATATATTGACCTCACACCGCACTAGGGTGAAACATTTTTCTTTAGGTGTGGTTGAGGTCAAATTGGCTCACGAGTGTTTGAAAATGCTGGATTAATCACGTTAAAGCGGCAATAACAATGGTATATAAATCTCTTTCCTACGATAGAAATACACAAAGTTATGCCTTCCGCACCAGGGGAATAAACGCTATTTTGCTCGCCGCACCACATGAATGTTCGCTATAAGCCAATATGACTTCACAACGCAGCGAACGTGTTAAAGCGAGGCATGTGGCATTCATTTAAAACCAATTATTAAATAAAAATGTATCAGATAATCCAAGTTGTGTATAAAATAGAAATAAAGATATTGTACTAGTTTTGAACCAACTTGTTCACAGAATCTTGTAGGTAGTACTCCAAATTCTAATTCAGGATAATTACCTATAAAAACTCTTCAGTTATCTCCACAGTCAGCTATATCAATAGATGATGATTCTATGTCGAATAATTATACAGGTGCGATAAATACTCGCAGACGAACAATGTTTGATCTGAATGAAACAGAGGATTTGGTAGCCTCAGATGATTCGGCCGACTGGCTGACTGGATGACTCTGAGGACTCTGGGGATATATCATTCGAGGAGGCTCAAACATGTGACTTCGCTGCAATAGCAGAGATGTCTGAGGAGGACTTGCCCGCTAAAGTGGAGGAGGCACTGAGATGTAGCGATTCAAAACATTGGCATCAGGCGATAAAAGATGAGTATGACTCTTTTATCACAAACAAATATTGGACTCTAGTTGATTTACCTCAAGGACATAAGCCTGTAAAATGCAAATGAGTGCTTAGCAAAAACAGAGGACTTAATGGAGAGATCTTAAAATATAAAGCTCGCTTGGTGGCTAAAGGCTTTACTCAAGAATATGGGATAGATTATCATGAAACATTTTCTCCTGTAGTCACGATACTCAACTATCAGAATGTTGCTAACATTAGCTACTCAGTATGACATGTTGATTGAGCACTTGGAAGTTAAAACAGCATTTTTGAATGGAATTTTAAAAGAAAATGTTTACATGGAACAACCCGCAAGTTTTGTAATTAATAATAATAACTAATAAGCATAAGGTTTAGAAGATTAACAAGGCAATTTATGGATTAAAACAATCTGCTAAGGCATTGTATTAGAGAATTAATGATATTTTAATTAATCAATTACATTTCGAGAGGTTTTCTTCAGAACCATTTGTGTATATATGCAATGATGGCAATGAAATTTTGTATATAGCAATTTATGTATATGATATAATGTTATTTTCTTCAAAAACTTCCCAGAAAGCAAAGCTCATCAAAAAAAAGTTGATGAATCAATTTGAGATAAAGGATTTAGGACCGACACATCAATTTTTAGGTATGAAAATTACCAGATTACCTAAGGGAAATTATACTTTAGATCAATCCAGTTACATCAAAAGAAGACATTGGTAAAGTTTAAAATGGCAGAATGTAAGGATGTAAAAACTCCTATGGAAGTAGGAATAAAATTACAAAGAGAGGGAAATGTGAATAATTGTAACTTTGATTATATGAGTTTGATTGGTTGCTTAATGTATTTAGCAGTATGTACCAGACCTGATATTGATCATAGTGTTAGCTACTTAAGCCAAATAAACGATATTTCGTTGCTAACTTTTGAAAAAAGTAATATTGAAATTATAGAATTTGCCGATGTTGATTGGGGTGGAGACTAATTGGATCGGAAATCCTACACAGCATATGTATTTTGCCTTGGTAAATCGATAGTATCATGGGAAAGTCGCAAGCAGCGCACTGTCGCGCTCTCGAGCGCTGAGGCTGAGTACATGGCGGTTTCTGATTCTTGTAAAGAATCTATGTTTACAAAAAGAAGTTCGTAGTAAAATTACTTTGTATAATGACAACCAGTCTGCTCAAAAGTTCTGTTCTAATATTGTATCACATTCTAGAACAAAGTATATTGAGATAATTATATCAGAGAATTGTCAGATAAAAAATAGTTAAATTAAGTTATCTATCTAATGGTAGCTGACGATTTTACTAGGTTTCATGTACTGAAAAGTATAAAACATTTGTATCGAAATTATCTAAAACATAAAGCTGGTATAAGTGGTATATAGTACGAATAAATAACAAGTCAGGAAGTCTAATTCAGAACAAATTACACACAAAAAAAGTGTAAAAGTAGCCCTACTTTAAACCAAAACGACGTATGATTCAAATTATGAATCACTTATGAGGTTGCAAACAGATATGCTTGGTGATTGGTTTAAGTTCAGACGGAAAGCAGGTTGATCGGTTTGCGCGCGTGCTGCAATGTCTGCTATGACGATGTTATGCAATAAGTGGATTGGAGAAAGTCAATAATAAAACAATATTATTGTACAATGTTTTTTTTATAATATATATCACATTTATATTTTTATTAAAAACAATACGGAGGTTCTTCCTCCGTCATATATTTTTGTTTTTTTAACACTATGTCCCGCGAAATAAGATTAATTTACTAAGTTTTTTCTAGAAGACATTAAAAGAGAGTCTTACTTCGCAATGTAGTGAAGACGGATTCTGAGAAATTCAACGTGACATTAATATACATTTTATTAACGTGAAACCAGCAACTCAAACCTTAAGTCAAAGTACGGCTGATGCGTTCAAGTTTTGTTCGCAACAATCAAACAATAAACATGCCTGATTTTCAAGACTCAGATGCAACTGTTAGCTTTTTAGAAACGTTTAAACTCCCTTTTTAAAAGAATTGAAACAAGATTATTTTTAAATTTTGTTTTTCTAGTTTCTTCTTCAACCCCGTTATAACATTCAATGTTGCTACTATTCTTCTGAAAATAACTTTGAAGATCACTTTAAAATTTATGAAACACTATCTCTATTTAAATTGGTACGTATATACGGTTAAAACAAAAATATTGAACCTAAAGATTAAGTGCAAAAAATAATAGTCAAACCTCACCAATTAACTATTTTGTGCCTTATGCGCTTGAGGGTCTGCAGTAATTGTTTTATTGAGCAACTCAGGTAAATTACACACTTCAAAATTTGCAGAGGCTGAATTTTTATTGGCCAAAAAAATGAAACGTGGTTTAATTTGACCAAACAGTGAACGGATTTTTTTAATGCTATAGTTATTCCCACAAGTCGAAAAAGTCTAACCTACATTACATTTCAACTGTAAGCGTTCATTATTGTTTTTTTTTTTCATTTTCTGTAGTATCTCTTAAAGATGACGACGTTTCTTCGGGACAAATAAGCTGCGTGAAAAAAATGCTTAATTTCAGATTTAATATAATAACGTAATTATTTTAATAATAAAACTGTAGGTACTCTCCGTACAAACTGGTACTGCGGTATTTTTTGTCAGAATGAACGGAGCATACTCTGCTGGTTTTCACAGACACCCAGTCATACTCTTGATTTTGTAGCTTAACTGCAGCTATTCACTTCTTTTGCCGAATAGGATCGGCATAGAAACTAAAAAAAAAACAACATACATTACTATTATAAAAATATCTAAATTTGTATCGATTTACATTTCAATATTTCATGAAAGAAAAAAAAAGTACTTTCTAATTAGGTCAAAAATTGATTAACTTCATTTTGCATAGCATTGGCCATCTCGGTTTGACAACGTATTTGTCATTCGATCATCTTTTAACAAATAGAATTATAATTTTGCTACTACTTACTAGTCAAAAGAGATTCCTGGAAATTTTAATCTTGTATGGCTTGTGCACCACTTCACAAAACATGCTGACATGATGATTCACAGTTGTAGTTCACAATGATAAAAATTTAAACGTACGCGAAAATTTGACATGTGCTTGCTTGCAAGAATAGTGTCCAAATAATGACGCGCTGAACACGACTTTTAAGCCCGGCCTACTTAAGCACGACTTTTGTTGGGTCATTTTTTTAACGCAAATACATTTCCTGACTTATTATTTATTCGTAGGGTACATATGTATAAGTAAATGCCACATTATTATTTTTGTATTCGTTTATGGGGTACTGTTGGCATATAACAGTAAAGAATAAAAAATAATATTCTAATCATCAACTGTGGCAGCACTCTCTTCTTTTAACCGCTATATATATAACTAGCATTGCCCGCGGCTCCGCCCGCGTTCAGATGACCAAAAACTAAATTCTTAGGTGTTACATATTAGTATACTCTTACATTGCAGTTTTTGTATTTTTCCTCAGAAATAAGATATTTTCCCGCGGTAAAAAGTATCCTAGGATCGCGCGCTACATCGCCCGGTTTATATAGCTTGAGCAGGCGGTCGAGCGATCCGGGGCAGAGGGGATGGACTCGCCGTAGGCATCTCAATGCTCGCCAAGCATTAAAAATGTTTCGCTACTAATTACTTCTAACAACGATATCTCAAAAACTATTCATCTGATTGATTTAGTGTAAAGAGCAATTTTAATCTGCATTAAATGACTAAGCTAACTAAAATATTCATTTGGATAAGGATTAATACCGAACTAAAGAAAATAACTTTGAAAATAACGTAATGTTTTTAATTAAAAATGTTAACATAAAAGTGGTTATTGTAAGTCAACCGTAAGAGATAGAGATATGCTATCGCGGACTTTTTTGTAGCATTTTTATAGATTTTGAATTCTCTAGTACATTACTTAACTGTATCTTTGCTAGTTTACGCGGCGTTCGCGTGGAAAGTTCCCATTTGGCGAGATTTTTTGCGACCTCTTCAACATTTGTCGCCGTATTTCAGCTAATTTACATAAAAGCATAATAAATTATATATACTCTTTCTATTGTTGAAAACCGTATAAAAATCCGTTCAGTAGTTTTCGAGTTTATCGCGTACAGACAGACAGGAGGACAGACAGGAGGACAGAAAGACGCGGCCGGGGGACTTATTTTTATAATAAGTATAGATAATAATAATAATAGCAATCCTTCAATTTATATCATGATAATAAAATTAGAAAAAAAACAAAGTTAACCCAAATAATAATTACCTCTGAGCTGATAACATGGCATGTCTCAATAAATACCATTATTCTAAATATACAGAGGGCACACCATACATTTTGCATTATGGTAAGTTGGACTGTAATAAAAAAATAATAATTTAAAAGCAGAAATATTCTATAATTGTAGAGCCCACTTACTAAAAATATTTACTTGGTGACTTCCAGAATAGCAGAATTCCATAATAAAATCTAGCTATTAACGTTATGACAACGTAAGTAAATATTACAAGAATAATCCCGCCATCTGTTTTATTCATCGCCGATATAACATCACACACTGTGACGTAAGCGTGTGATGTGGAACATATATGCTTGAATTTCAAAAACCTTACATATTTGCTTTCTGAAACAGAAAGAGAAAATATATTTTCTGCATTTCTTTTTTTTTGGAAAAAATAAAATATTCGTACACCAATATAACCCTAGTTTATAGGAATTCATTAAATAGTTTCTTAGGCAGTAACTACTAACTACGCTATTCATCAGATATGTATTTTAATAAAGTATCCCAATACCCCAAAGAACCAACTGTTAGAACTTTCCTTCGCCTGTATTATTACCTCATCGTGGAATACCATCGTTCGAGATGGGTAGTAGTAAATGATCCAGCAAATAAGCTTGATCAAAGACTTGGAAAGAGCTAACTACTAATGAGAAGCAATATTTTGGTAAAAAAATACTGGGTCTCCTACCTCGGTAGGTTCGATGTGCCATTTGGGCTGCCCCTGGGTTTTCTTTTCCCTTTGAATGGGCAGGAGAATAAACTCATAAGAAAATTATTACTAAGCACCCGGTTATTAAGTGAAAAAAGTACGTGGTACGTGGTGCAACTACTCTTCATTCAAGACTCATCCCGGCTCGATAGACTACTCGATAGATAGAAGAATTCATAGAAAAAAGTCCCTTTTACAATGTCGGTAAAAAGGCACATGAAAAACATGAGCTCTGAATAATGTCAAATATGTCGAAGCGCCAGAAAAGTGTATTGTAATTTGTTATTCCGAGAGAAGCAACAGAAAGTGCAAGAATATAAATGTAATCGAAATAATAAATTATAATAAAATTTTATTATGCATTACCAACATTGTCCAATGAAAGCACCCCGTCCATTTTAATATTAATCAGTTTTAGAGTTTTGTAAGTTTCTAGGCGTACCATTACCATTTGTATTTCCATTAAATTCATATTAAAATACACTAAGGTACTTAAAATGTCATGTGTCATTTCCATCAATGCTAAAAAAAGGTCTGTTGTGAATAAATATTGTAAAAGCTTTGCTACGGTGAAGGAAAGCAATAAATATGACAGCGCGCTCAGTGCGCCATCTGGAGGTTTCGGCGAGCTCATCGGATTAGAGTGTGAAGTCAGGCCACACTGTCACAGCACACTCTAGTAAAGCGTCGAAGCGATGGTAGCAGGGTGATACAAACTGGCAGGTTTTAAAAAGAAATTAAAATAAAGAATAAAGTTGACGATTAGAGAAATAATAAAAGGAATGTCAGATTTGGATCGCCCGTGCACCACGTATACGACGAATTACTTATTTCCGAATTTGTTTATCATTATTGATTGTGTAACGTATAATTTGTGCTTTATTTTGTGAACATTGTTACTTAGCTCTGAGTGTGTGAAGTGTAACTGACTTAGTTGATTAAATCTACTGTATTTGTTAAAAGACATTATTTAAATTCACGCCCACTATAATGAATAATTCTGATATTGGCCGTCCTGCGCCGACAAATATATTATGTTTCAATTGCGAATAAGTTTATAAATATATAGTTCAATGACAGTTTGAGTGCCTGGATACTGAATTTTTGAGTTACATTTATTATGAGCATATATATATTTATTTTTGCATAATTAGACTACTCCTCAAATTTTAAATAGGAAACTAATCAAAGATATAAGTTCCTTTTAAAGGAACTACTTTCCATAGTGATTAGTGGCTTAAAAGACTATTGCGGTACGGTCCAATATGGTCCAGGGTTGAAGGCTACGAATAGCGGCGTAATTAGCCTCTTCAAATGTCTATAAACTGCTTGATTTATTTTATTTGATTATGTCATTGAAAATTTTTAAGCCAATTTAAACATAGCGAAAAAATAATTGAATGACCTTCATTCGTATGAATTGTCTATTTCAGTACGTTTCTTGTACCCATCTACACAATATACAAGGTGTACTAAAAAGGAGTAGTAAAAAGGAGTAGTGAATCTTATTGACATATACTTGAAGTTCTAGCTCCAAATTGTAAAGTACGTTACCGATATACATATATACTTATGCTATTTTCTGTATCTGCCCTATATATGGTGTTTCAAAGAAAACATGATACAATAATTTTAAAGTAAGAGATTTTTCTAGATACGTACTGTCTGATTTAAAGTATGCCATTAAAGTATGAATTTTTATCACGTGATAAGTAAGACCAAAAGCTATATATGAAACAATTATAATTAAACTCAATTTATCTCTGTTTTTCATTTTTCTTGTATCAGATTTATCAACGATGTTCTTCTTAACCTGAAAAATAGAATATACTTATTATTAAATAAGCTTATTATTTATTACCAGTGATCTGAATAGGCTGAATGTCTTACCTAAACTTTGCGACAATACATAGAGTTGTTATAACCACGGAAGTCCCGGGAATTTCTTTTTCAAAGTCCCGCTAATTTATACTTCGTAATTCTAGTTAATGTTTAAAAAATAGAAATAAACGCGTTTGAAATATTTACACACTTTTAATCACAGGTATTGTTACTTTTTTGTTTACACTGAAATAGCAATATAATAATAATAATAATAATAAAAACTCTTTATTGCACACACAACATAGGAAGAAATATAAAAAAAAAGAAGAAAACAGTAGTAGCAAAATGCACAAGAGGCGGCCTTATCGCTAAAACAGCGATTTCTTCCAGGCAACCTTTAGGTGTAGGATATAGCAAAGTGTGAAGTGGAAGGGTGTGAACAAATAACAGAGATAAGAAAAATAAAAATGATAAATACATATATACATACATATGATATTTTATATACGTATATAAAATATATAAATTAGGTATACGTAACTAATATAAATAATATGATAATAAGTAATAAATAAATAAAATAAAATAATAATATCAGTTTAACCAAATAAATAAAATGACTATATTATATATATATATATATATATATATATATATATATATATATATATATATACACATGAAAGGCAAGAAATATTTTAATACAAATAAGGATAATAGCTATACATATATCAGTACATATAATTTAAGAGTAAATTTCAGAATAAATAATAATGCAGCAATCCGAAGGAATTAAAATGTATAAAAGTGTTCTTTTAGACGTTTTTTAAAAATCATTAGAGATTTCGCATCCCTAACGTTACGGGGAAGGGAGTTCCAAAGACGACAGGCCGTAACACTAAAGGAGTTGCCATAAAAGGTAGAGGAGTGGGAAGGAATTTTAAGGATTAAATTTTGGGCAGAACGCAGAAGGCGAGAATGGGAATCTCCAAGGAATTCAAAACGTTCTTTAAGGTAATTTGGAGTGGACGGATCGAACAGAATACAGTAAAGAAGATGAAGTATATGAGTATTTCTGCGAAGACGAATAGGGAGCCACTTGAGCTTTTTACGAAGATTAGAGACATGATCATATATACGTAAACCAAATATGAACCGAATACAAAAATTTTGGAGTCTCTCAAGTTTATTTAATTGCTCCTCTTTAATATCAAGGTAACTGATATCAGCATAGTCAAGAATTGGTAATAGGAGCGATTGTGCTAACGCAATTTTAGTGGAGATTGGAAGAAAGTTATGCAAACGTCGAAGCGATGCTACCGAATTAAACATCTTCCTGCTTACCTCACTTACCTGTGGAACCCATGATAAGTTCTGATCCATAATAATACCAAGATTTTTGACGGTTTTGCTATATTACATCTTACAAAAAAGGTCGTTAATACGTAAATGGACTGTATTTCGTGTGAAGATTACATATCGCAGCCAATCTGGTCAATACAAACGATGCGATGATGCGATAGTTTCAAGACCACACTATAAAATATTTTACTGATCCCGGGAATTTCAAGTTCTACTCAATAGTCAATACCTGTGATTAGAAGTGCTCATATATTTTGAACGTGTTTATTGTTATTTTTTTAACATTCTGCTGGGATCCTCTACTCCGGGAACTAGAGAACTATAAATTTCCGGGACTTCAAACTAGAAACTCCCGTGAATTTCGTGGTTATAACAACTATACGCCAATATCGTCGCCAAGTTTAAGTAAATACATTCAGCCTATTCCGATTACTAATGATTACAATACTTTACTATACATATAGCAAGCGATCCTCGTTTAAATTATATAACCAAATTACACACGTGTAAAAAGCAATTTTCAAGAAAGGCTAAGCGAAATTTAATATCAAATACACCCAAAAGTATACATGTACTCGTACAATGTACATATGTACATCTGAGGCTCTACGAGCCTAAAATTTCATTATGGAGGTAATACATATTATGTAGATAATAGGTATAATATATACTATGGGTATTCGAGACTAATTAGAAAATGCGAACGTGACCACACATGTGATCTATTCCCATAAATTAATGACTAAGAGTCTGAGGCAGTACGGTCGACCAACTTCCCATATCCTGTGGAAATTTAGGCTATAGACAATTTCTTATTCAAAGGTCGATTGATTCTTCTAGATTAATCTCGATTTTGAGCCCAACACCTTATAACTCGGAGCCGTACAGTCAAAGCCACTGGATTAATGTAGCTGCTAGTACTAGAAACTAAGTATCTAACAATAATCATGTAAGATTTGCATAGACTCTATACAAATACAACCTTATCAAGTCGATTTAAATGTATTATCATATTTCTCATTCTCTTCAATCCATAATATCCTCCAAACGATACAGACATTGAAGCGGTTATAAAGTCTGGCAAAGCATGTGCAAGATTTGACAGGAAATTGGCTCGCTTATACAGATCCATGGAAAGAACCATAATCAGAATCGCATCTGTAAATTTACCATAGATTAAAAAGCTAAACAGATATTTTTGAAGTCGGCGCCAGCATCAAATCTAATATATTTCCATACGTGAAATACATAATAAATTGATGTACCTATTATATTTTAACTATATTAGAGTTCATACGTAATCAATCATATTTACCTATTAGATACTCATATCTTAAAATATTGTCAGCTGACACCGATTTCGAAAATATCTGATTAGGTATCTATTCTAAATGAAAACCCCGTTTAGTTATTTTTTACATTTTTGTGCCTGGAAGTCGGTTGTTATTTTTTATTTAAAAAGTTTTTATTTTTCCATTTTTAGTGTAGACGTAATAAGCAGGTAAGTAATTCGTAAGAAGAAAGTTTTTTGAGAACATATTCGATTAAGCAATTTATTTAAAAAAATAATTTATTGTTGATTTTATATAAAACCTCTCAACCGATATCGGTAAAATTTAAATGGGACCACCTGTCAAGTATACCCTTCGAAACAAAAAAAATCCAAATCGGTTCAGGCGTCTTTGTGTAATCGGAGAATATAAGTACATTAAAAAAAGATTCCGACGAACTGAGAACCTCCTCCTTTTTGGACGTCGGTTAAAAATGTCATTCATATAAAAATAAATATAATAAATGATATTTGTGTACTGATCTATACATGCTTGATCATAATTTATTAATCCTAAGCCATGACTGACATATTTAACTATTTATTGTTCTTTAAATAATGTTTTTTTTCTTATGTTGCATAGATCAATAATATTATTTATGAGAAATTATTATAAGCGAAAAAATGTTAACTCCTCAAAAGAACGTGTGTAGTATTTAAAGATTATTTATTAAGGCGATTTGTACCCTCAAAGAGTTACTTTCTAAAGCGTACTTCTCGTTTATGGCTTGACCGAAATGTTTGAAAAAAATATATGTGAATCATCAACTCTTTAACAATATTTTTATTGAACATTTTTTTTCGTGGGACTAAACTATCTATTACTTTTTTTTACAGAGAAATGGTATTTTTTTGACTTGCGTTTCCTATTGTTTCTAAACGGCTAAGAATTTTGGCTACATTCAATAACTAAAAAATAAGAGATCTGTTTTACT